GAAATGTAATAATTTACACCAGGTACTGTAACTCACAATTATAGTAATTTCTGTATTAATAATAGTTGATTGGTATATTTAAATATTTATTGCTCCTAATTAATTGGTCGTTCAAACATTGTCAAAGCCAACAACTTCAGGAACCATAGTTATAATCACTAGCATCTTGTAAATAAATTGTGAAGATAAACAGTCATGCAACTTAAAATGTCCCACACTTCAAGAAAGCTGCTATAGAATAAAAGGTGTGTTAAATTAGTTCCTAGTTATCATCTCAAACATATTCTTTGCTGAAATAATAATAATATAAATAATATTGTTATATTATTAAAGCCATCCATAGTGACATTAATTTGTTAAATTCCAGGTTGGAACTTGCACTGAACTAACCTACATGGCCCTTTTCAAGGATATCCCTTAAATTTTACCGTATATTGTTGTCTCAATAGTTCTGTCAAATACCATAAAATTCCGAAAATAAGCCCCTCCAAATATAAGCCCTCCAAACTCCTAAGGCAAAAAGCCCTCCGTTAAATTGCCCCTCCAAATTTAAGCCCCGTCCCCCAGCGGGGGGCTTGTATGTTCTTGGAAATTTCCCTTAATACAAAGTAAAAAAAACAAAGCAAAACAGTAAATTTCCTTCCAACTATAGGGCTAGCCCAATCAACTTAAAAATGCAAATTTCCCTCCGTAGATAAGCCCCTCCGAATATAACTCCCTTCCAAAATAAGCCCCTCAAAAAGGGCCTTTGAAAATGTAAGCCCCAGGGCTTATTTTCGGAATTTTACAGTAAAAACTCAAATAATTTTTATTTAAGAAGAAATCCTTCCTTGAAAGGATCATCCTTTTCCACAGTGAAGCTGCATTTTCCAGTGTAGTATGCATTACCTGCCACCTCCACATGAACAGCATCAAAATCCCCGCATTTGGTTTCCTTAACAGCTTGGCCAGTGAACTTTGATCCAACTAACCCCTGTTCAAACACACGGATCTGATGCAGACCAATCTGTTGACGAGCATACTGCACAGCAATACGAGCTGTTACTCCTGACCCAGTGGGACACCGATCAACCTAGCAAATAAAGTTAATTCATTGAGAAATCTGTGCCATAAAAAACAATCCTTTTTACAAACAAAACATTAATGCAGGTCGTATATTGTATATATCCAGGAAACAGCCAGCCCCTGGACAGAAAAATGTCACAAATGTTTCCGAGATAAAAATGTTAAATACTATATATGTTTCTGCCACCCTTGATTTTCTTCATGTTAGGACCACATACATGTACCACCCTTCAATGCCCTGTAGACTGGGCAGGAGCTAACAGTTTATCCTTTGTGTCATTTTATAGTGTATTTGTAAATACTGACAATGACAAAATCTGCTAATCATTACCCATAAGTAATAACAACATGGTCCACATTTGGATTTGTTCCATTTTCAGTAATTTCAGTGTGTAAGTACCCTTGTGTCTAGAAATCGTAGAATATTCAGCTGTTGAATGCCCATAACCGTATTGATGTTTGAAAAGATGCTGTTCTTTGACGGTAATGTTGGGGTCATCATATTTATTTTGTTTTGGTTGTTGTTGTTGTTGTTGTTTAATGTTCTGAATTTGGTGTTAACAAAATCTTATTATTAATGATACTATTTTTGAGGCAACCCTGGTTTACATGTCGGTAACTTCCTCATTCAGGAGTGAGTCCAGCTCTAGCCTGTGCACAGACCCCCTCCCCCTTCCCCTCAGGAAAAATCAGAGAAGGGGACCCCTTCTCCAATTTTTCCTGAGGGGAGGGGGGTCTGTACACAGGCTGGTCCAGTCCCCACCCATTAGCATTGATATGAATATGAGGATACCCCCACAGAATTTTTAATGACCTACTATGAGAGGAGAGAGTAAAGATATCCTCTGTAACCACTAACACTATATTACCCCAAGCCTCTGTTTCAAAGTGAGGCTATGCATGAAAAATGATTTTTTTGTTTAATTTCTCAAGCAAATGAAACTCATTATCACCAGGAGAAAAAGCTTTTTCTATTAGCCTGATTCTGAAAGTGAGGGTTTTATGAACTGGAAAGGTAGTTAGATTGAACATCTTAAGTAGTTAGAATTGAACATATATAAGGAGTCAGGAGATTTTCTCAGATTTCCTTGTCACCTTGTGTTACACCCCTATACATCTTCAACAATTCAATGTGATTCACTAAAATCACATAAAATTCTCATAAAAATTGATTAATGTTGCCTTTTTTCTTCTTGAAATAACATATGTAAATGACCGGACAAATAATTTACTGATAATGACTTTCAGAATTAAATATGGAGATAAGGTAAAAGTGGTTTATGCTCTAACCATAAATGGTACATTATCAAATTTTCTTCTCTATGTGTTTTTTTAATCAGATTATTACCTGTTTAGACTTAAAATCAAACAAAATATTTTGATTCTACTTTTTTCATTGGTTCGACAAAGTGATATTTTCAAGATCAGTTATTTCCTTTTCCTTTCAAAATGTTCACCTGTCAGCGAAAGCTTAGATAATCAAATTACTTAGAATAGATGGGAGTGACTTCCCACAAAGAAATGAACCTAAATGGAACAAATTGTTGATTGTACATGTATGCAGCAAAATCACCTGCTTTTGAAAAACATTTTCCTTTCCTTCAAATGCGAGACAAGATAAGTAAAAAACTAAGTTTCCTCGTCCAAACACGTTTTCGCTTGTTTTATAGTTTAAAACGTTTTTAAAAACAAACTAACACGGAATCATCTTGACGAAAATATACAATAGGTTTGTGTTGTGAGGCAATCTTAACTCATTTTCAAGACGTCTTTGTACACTTTCAATATTCAAATTTCGCCCTCAAAACTCGATGCTCTATTTTTCTCCTTATTTTGATTTTGTTTCGGTTTTCGAAAGTAAACGAGGAAATTATATTTAATTTAGTTCAAGTATCTCGATTCCCAGGAGTAAAAACTTGCGCGCGAGCTGCAAAACAGCAAACAATTATTCCGCGAAAATTTAAATGTTACGGTGTCCTGACTCCGTATTTTAAACACGACAATCAGATCACAAAAACAAAATAAAATCGTCATGAAAACCACATTTCCTCAATGAAGTTCCCTCTGTGTGAACTTCAGAAAAGAAGTCGAGGGAAAAAACTTCAAATTAAAGGATAATCACTCGAATCTTAATAAATAGGCATACCTGGCTGTCTGCAAAAACACAGACGTTAGCTGTAGATTCTTGTGAGTCTCCATGGTACATATCTCTTCCATCAGTGACGATTGTTCCGTATAGAAACGCTAGGTCTTCGCTGTCAGGGTGGTGAAGCCTAATTTGACTTTTTACGGCGTTGGAAATCACATTTGCAGCGTCTATAACCTCGTTCACAGGGGAAGAACGAACATCGACACCCAACCGATCTTCTGGGACAATGGCGTAAAAAGCTCCCCCAAATCCAATGTCGACTTTTACTTTTCCAAATCTTTCGGTGGTGACCTCCAAATCGATCCAAAAAGCAAAGGCTGGGACAGAAATGAAGCGAACACGGCCCGATTTTCCTTCTTCTATATCTACCAAAGCCTTCACCACGCCACAAGGACATTCTATAAACACCGGCACTTCGCCGACACTCGAACGCGAGACATCTGTGCTGAGAAGACCCGAGTCGACAGCGTATCTACCGAGTGCAATGACAGCGTGGCCACACATAGTGCTATAGCCTTCGTTGTGCATGAAAATCACCCCTAGGTCGGCCATTTCACTGTGCGGTTGGACGATCACAGCGCCGTACATATTGTAATGTCCTCGAGGTTCAAACATTGCCAGCTTGCGAATGTGATCAAGGTGTTCGCGAACATAGCGTCTCTTAGCGAGAATCGTGTCTCCTTTAATCTCAGGGTATCCAGAACAAATTATTCTCAGTGGTTCACCTCCAGTGTGCATTTCAACTGTTGAAATTTCCACGCTGTTTTCCTCCATCGTGCAGAAAATCTAGAAAGTCAAACCCCAATTGTGTCCACTTGTTCGCTTCCGGTAGATCTCACGCGCACGCATGCCGCATGAAAACAAAGGCGGGAAATAGGAAATAGGTTGAGCGGGGCGGGGGTGGCGCTATATTGATATGATGGGTATCAATCAAGTGAAATTTCTTGAAGAGAATTTAAAAATTTGACTGGCCTTTCTTTTTTCTTGCGAAGAAAAGGGAGTGAGCGAGTGTGCATGTTTCTCGGAGCCAGTCTACTTTCCTCTGGCTTCTTCACTATGACCCCCCACCCTACCCCCGAATGGAGGAGTCGGCAATGGGGTGATCAGGAATCCGGAAATTTTGGGTTGTGGAATGGGGAAATTCAGCTCAAGGAATCCGGAATCCCGCTAACGATTGTAATCCAAAATCCAAGTTCTACTGACAAGGAATCCGAAATCCAGGTTTTTACTGACAAGAAAGCTGGAATCCAGTACTTGGAATGAGGATCCCGCAGCGTGAAATCCAGAAGCCAAGACTATCAGGGACGCCCCATATATAGAGCCTGGAACCACGCTCCGCATTGTGGAGAAAGAGGAAGAAATCTACGTGGGCGAAAAAAAAATCTTTCTCCCCGCTGCGGAGCCTGTTCCCAGACTATCTTTTGCCGTTTCTTATTTTTCGACTTTTAAAGTAAGAGCTCCCCTATTCCGATACGTTAGCCCTCGAACCCACGGTATAACCTTTTCCCAATTTAGCGTTTGCGGGCTTACAAATCAAAGTCTACTTGCTTCCAACAACAAAAACGTTTACTTGTAATGTAACTCAAATAATTGAATAAATACATGTATAAAATTTTAATTGCATACAGTAACGGGACAAAAAAATGCTAAATCACAAAGCTAATCTTGTTGGGTGACCATTATATATCATTAGTCATTGACAATGGACAAAGCAGTCTGACGAATGTATGAGGTGCATTTGAATGAGTGGAAACATCCAAGAAGTGTCGAATTTGTTTGCATTGCTAGTAAGCCAGTTCACACATAAATTGTATCCCTGTAGTAATTGGTATGCACCCACACTATAAATATCACGCGGCATTTAGTGCAGAAATGCGGTCAAGGGCTGAAAATCGACTTGGAGCGACGTCATTGTCCGGGGGGGTACTCCCATTAATGGTCTATATAGGGTAGCTTCTCTCGATAGGGGTACCTTTTTCAGGCTTCGATTATATAAAAGGGGAGGAATATCCCAAGCTGATGAATATAAAAGGGTAGGGAAATCTGACATTCATCTTCGATCTGTTAAAAGACCCAAAAGGGCTAACAGCTGAAAAGATAAAGCTGTTATAAAAAGGTACAGGAAGATGAAAGGTGTGCCTACACAAATACTGAGTCGAGCCACCAAATAAAGAAACACGCTTAAAAAAATTTGCAAAATAGCACTTCAAGCTCCCTTGGGACCCACGCCAGGGCCATTCTAACCAGTTTTGTGGCCTGGCCTGTTACGTTTTTCGAGCTGTATGTTACAGTGGTGGTTCAAGACCTTCAGATAAGGAAGGGGGGGGAGTGGTCATCCAGATCCTGAGATAAGAGGAGGGGGGCCGGTCTCCAAAATTTTTTTTTCAGCCCTTCGGGCCTCAGTTTGGTCTAAAAATAAGCTGGGGGGGGGGGGCGGGCCCCTCCCCTAGATCCGCCACTGTGTTGCTTGCAACGTCCGGTAGGGTGAAGTTCTAGCATACTCAGCCTTATTCTAATCAATAATAGACCTTTTTACCGAGACGGCGGCCATATTTAATTAACTGGATTTAATGAGTATTAATGGCATGTCCAGGGGGCATGAGCACGATCTCATATACTCGCATCAGTATTTACGCGCGCTTTTCGGGCCAATTTCTTTAAGTTTTCCTAGAAATATATTGTAATGAGAAAAAAAGATCGTTGTGCCGTGTTCGGATGTAATAACGATCGCCTTTTTCCACAGAAATATACATTGAAGTTCTCTTTTTACCCGAAAAGTGCGCGTAAATACTGAGCGAGTGCCCCCTGGGCATCCCATAATACTCCTTAAATCTAATATATTCAATATGGCCGCCGTATCGGTACAAAGGTCCATTGCTAACTATTATTGGAGAATTTTAGTAAAAACACAATTTTCGGGTTTCCGTCATGTGGCATCTAGAGTATCCTGGTGACTTCACAAACTAGACCAATCGTTCAATGAGATAGCCTTTGTAGCTGGGGGGATCATTATTTGGAAACGGTCTTTGCCGTGAGAATGGCTGCTTCGTATTCAACACTCTCACAAGCGCGAAAACAATTCCGCCATCTACGCAGGCTATCAGTGAGGGGCCACGTACTGCCCAACGGTTTGCCAAATATTAGATTGGTTCTGGTAACCACCCGAACAGCCTGGAGCCACCTTTCAAGTGAAACTTTATAAATAAGCTAGCAACGGTCACCAACTCATCAGAATTATCCAACTGGTATTTATACATAGGGATATGAAAAACTTGGGTACCTGGCTTTATTCCGACCTGCAGAGTCTTGAGATAGTCATATTTACGGAAGAAACCCAGTGAGCGTTTCAAAAGTAATTCCAAAATGGTAGAACCGAGACTAAAAAGTTCTTTCCCTCCGTCAGGTACAGGCAGTTGAGATAATATATACTGGTACTCTTCAAAAATAAATGCCAGGTTACCGCAATTTAAATTAAGGTAAACGTTAACAGGTGGGAACATCTCATACTCCCGCACAATACTTGTAACTGGTCTTGCATCAAAATGGAAAACAGATTTTAGCCTCGAAGATAGCGATTTTAAACAAGAAAAGGTTCGGAAAACCTCCGTATGTCGACTCTTCATTAGAATGTGAAGTTGCTTTTGAAACCACTTTCTTTGTACCTTGCTTAAGTTTTCCAAATTCTTGTTCTTTGAAATATGTTTAAAATAGGTTGTTGTATGCAATACAAAGCTCAAAATGTACCTCTTAAATTCATCCGCATAATATGAACAGCGTATAAAGTCTCTCCAAAAGCGTTTCGATAGACCGTCCTCTGAAAGCCTCTTTAAAAGTTCAACGATTTTTCTGTAAAGTCGCGTTACGGGGAAAGATTCCCAAATGTTTGCAGGCAGGACAAGATCAGAAACGAAAGAAGAGCGAAATGATTTGTTTTGCATCTTTTCGTATGAGAAGAGAAGTAACGAAATGTACTACGTCAGGCCTCAAATCCAATAATGTAAACTCGTTTGGAAAAGAGCCGAACACAGTGTTAAATATTATACTGTGTTCAATGTCCTTGGTGGCATCGCTTGTCTTACCTCCATGTTGTTCTAAAAAACGGATAAGTTCTTCCCAAGGATTGTCGCGGCCGACTTGTACTTCCTGTTTGAAAAGATTTGCCAGGAATAGTGGTGTTATTCCATCCGCGTTGGCGCAATCCACATCTAACTGGTCCGCATCAGTTTCATTGAATATCACTTTGATAAAGTTCACTAATCCACGGGAGGCCGCATAGTGATACAAAGTCAGCTCTGTCTTGGTAGAGTCGCATCGTATCTTGTATCCACGACTATTTACTGCGTGGCGCAGAAGCTCAATAGCCGCGTGTTCGGCATTTATTAGGTGACGAATATCTGCGTCCATCCAAACAAGTCCATGAGCCTCCCACAATCGCTTCCTTCCTGCATGAAATACAGCCAGTGTTAAGGCGTCATATCTTTGGGGATTTAAAACAGAATCATTTGCACCATTTGCAAGAAGATAGCGAATTGCGACTAGATTGACCTCTTGTGCTGCTCTGTGCAGCGGGGGTAAATCCCTCAGCGTCAAAACAGGAGCCTATTATCAATTGTTTCTCTGGATGACCTTCGATAGCTTTAGCAAGGGGATCCTTCTTCAGAGACGGCTCTTATTAGAGTCCACAATGACATAGCCATGGCAATAGATCAACATCATTCAGTTATCCTAGTACTTCTCGATCTTTCGGGTGCATTTGATACTGTTGATCATGGTATCCTCCTCTCGCGACTGTCCAATCGCTTTGGAATTACTGGAACTGTATTGGAATGCCCGGTTTCGATCATATGTTTCTGATCGTACACAATTTGTGCAGGTTAATGGTGCGTGTTCTGCTTCTCATGTTCTTGAGTTTGGTGTACCGCAGGGATCCGTTCTTGGCCTGTTGTTATATTCAATGTACACATCCCCTCTTGGTGAGATTGCTCGACGTCATCAAAGGTTCTATCACTTTTATGCTGATGACACCCAGCTATATATTACGTTCAGGACGTCGTCTGTTTCTGATATGAATCTGAGTAACACTAAATTGGTAAACTGTGTTCGGGACATGGACGCATGGATGCTTTCCAACAAGCTGAAATTAAATAAAGACAAGTCTAAAGTTCTCGTAATATCTTCTTCCTATCGACCTCGGCCACCACTATCTTCTGTTGATATATGTAATGAGACTGTATCCTGCTCCCCCAGTGCACGCAATATTGGAGTTATCTTTGATCAATCTGTCAATCGTCCTTTTTCCATCTTCGTAACGTTGGCTTCATACGCAAATATCTTACTTATGATGCTGCAAAGATCATGTCTTCGTAGTTTCTAAACTTGATTATTGTAATTCTTTATTGTACGGCCTACCATCCTATCTTATTCGGAAGCTTCAACATGTTCAAAATTCTGCCGCCCGCCTTGTCAACCAGTGTCCAAGATTTTGCCATATTACTCCAGTCCTGAGGGATCTTCACTGGCTCCCTGTCTCCTTTCGTATTGAATTTAAAATTATGTTAATTACTTACAAAGTACTACATGATCGCGCTCCAATCTATATACAGGAACTCCTTCAATTGCATACACCCAGCCGCAATCTTAGAGCCTCTAATAGAAATTTATTAGTTAAACCCTATTTTAATCTCAATTCGTATGGTAAACGGTCTTTTTCTGTTGCTGCTCCGGAACTTTGGAATAACTTACCTGAGGATATTAAATCTGCAAACTCAATCGATGATTTTAAGCGCAAACTTAAAACATTTCTTTTTATGAGAGCTTATGAATTGAGATGTTTTTATTTGTTTTCTGATTTTTTTTTTTCTATTGTGTACATTTATCTATTTTGTAGTTAGCGTCTAGTTTTAAAGTCAATTTCCTGTGATTATTTTCTAATTTTTGTAAACAGCGCCTTTAAATCTTGTAGAAAAGGCGCTATATAAATGGATTATTATTATTATTATTATTATTATTATTATTACACAGTGGGTCAGTGGGTTCACTGCAGTTCTCTGAGAAGAAAAAGTTGTTCTCTTTAAAAGTCGGAGAGAGATAACTCAAAAGATGAAACAGAGAATGGTCGAAAGGTTTTGCACATTCAATGGTCACCGCCTCAGAACTCATACACTTCAATCTGCTGGAGGCACCAGAAGAAAGGAGGAGACAAATAACCATCACATGACCATTATTTTGACTTTGTATTTGCTTCACGAGGATTCTCTGGTTCTGATACGACTGATGCATTTTCCAAAACGACTTCCAGCGGCGTCTTACCATTTTTGTCTTTCATTTCCGTGGTCGCGTTCATGTTAAGAAGGACGTTAACAGTATCAGCTAAGCCATAGAGAGCTGCAAGGTGCAAGGGTGTGGCTCCACTGCAATCCTGATCATCAACACAAGCCCCTTTCCTGATGAGCAATCTTGCCAATTGGTGATGGCCGTACCTTGCTGCAAGATGCAGAGGAGTGTAGCCACAGTGACAGACTTCTTCACAGTATTCCATACGTTCAGCTAAATCAAGTTGTTTTTTGTCCAGTTCTTGCCAATGTTTACATTTGTTGTGTATCATCCGTGATTGTTTTTCCAGCAATAAGTTAACAACGATCATGTTATTTTTTTGAACAGCTTCATGGAGTGGAGTTCTTCCTGAATAATCGTGGCAATCTAGTGTGTTAAGTTTTTCAGAAAGAAGACGAGTAACAACCTGGTCATGGCCTGAAGCAACAGCCGCATGAAGGACAGAATGACAGAAGATTAAATATTCATCATCAAACAATGTTTCGTTTTCTTCTGGCCATATATTCTCCCAGTCGAAGCAATTGTTAGTCCCTGACCAGAAAGCAAACAATCCTTTAAATTAATCGGGGGAGTAAGAATCAGTAATCTACCCGGGAGGCAGTTTGTTCCTTTTCCCCAGTAAAAAGAGCTATCACATCTCAGACATTCATCTTTCACACAGAGTCTAACGGGTAATTCACTACTTCGAGCCTGTTGTTTGCAGCTGCATGGTGGAGGGCGGTTTGGTCTGCAAATGCGCCTGCCTTATATAGGGTCTTAACAACCTCTAGATGTCCTTTTTCAGCAGCTATCTGGATAGCAGTCAGCTGTGCACCATTCAACAAGGACAGGAAAGCATTGTTCTCGATAGGGAAATGAACAACGCTTGAACGCCCTCTTTGGGCTGCTGCGTGCAGCATCGTGGAATCAAAATGTTTTTACTTGGATTCATCAAAAGGCTCGATAATCTTGAGATAATTTTCATTAAATACTCCAGTGTGGATATTTTGTGAACCTCTTAGTAAGTTGGCTTTATAAAATGCAACCATAATTTCTTCGTCTTGTGGTTAATCAAGAGAGGATAAAGGGGACAGAGAAGGCATCCCCTTACACACCCTATTCCATAGGTAATTCGTCTCGAGGTATTTTTAAGACTACAGATCCCAAGGGGGATTAGACAACAGCAAGAGCCATAATAGGACAGAGAGGGACACTCCCAGTCACGCCTTTGGGATATCTTAATCCCAAAAAAGTTATTTTTAGAACTATGCGGACCATGCGGAAACAGTTTCCGGTAAACTGGTTGACTTCCGGAAGATTCAGCGCGCCAAAGCGAGGCGGGGTCAATAAATGAAAAAAATGGCTGCTAAAGTGGAGGGACAATGTGGAGGGTGTGTACTTGATAAATTGTCCTTCTTCAACGAAGAACCTACCATAGAAAATAGTTAAAACTTCTACACAAACGGATCCTTTACAAGAAACGGTAGAAATACAGTTAAAGCGACCGCGTGGACCATCGTTTTTGTTGGAACAGCTGGAAAGAGGACAAGTAGCATTGCGTTTTACACAAAATGCGCGGGTCCTACAAAGACGACCGTACAAGCGACCGTGTGGACGTATTTTCTGTTGAAAGAGGAAGGAAAAAACGTATAAAGGCTTCCAGTATTTTTCTCAAGGACATGACCAGGAATCATGTGGAAAACACCTTTCCCTGCTTTGACTGATATTTTGTACCGTACTTCACATGGGACAATTAACAATTATTCTTGAACACGAGGTGAATAGAAGCGGAATATTCGCGGCGAGGTTAATATTCCTAAAGCCACTATTCAGCAAGATTAAAAATCAGTAAGGAGACCATTTAAGTTCAATGTGATTGACGGTTTTGACGGATCAGTTCATGTGTGAAAATCGGTATGTGCAAAAGTTTGATCTTTACAGAATTTTCAAACATTGCAAATCAAATCGCAGTTAAAAATCCTTTCGCAAACAATGGCCTAATAATGGGTTATATGGAATAGCCAGAACTTTAAATTCTGCTTCCCAGCCTGTGAAGAAAAGAAGAGCTTTGTTTTCATCTGTCGACTCGCCAAGTTAGGGAAAAAGGGTTCTTGTGCAGCAAATTTGTGTTGTTCTTTAATAAGTGCAGACAATGGTGGCCCGGTTGCTCGAGGTAAGGCGCCGTTTCTCTGTAGTTTTCTTGACATTGAAATCTCGAAATTTCGTAAAGATTTGCTTTTAATTTTTTCTGTCACAAGTTGAATTTGATTTCTGGGGAAAATTCGCCTTTGAAGGAAATGTTGAGTTTACACAGAAACATCCTCTTCTTTTCAATTTGTAATTGTCAACATTCCATCGAGCGAAAAATACTGCTCAGTAAAGTTAATCGGAAAACGTTCTTGAATACTTTGAAGTCTTCCTTACCTTCAAAAAAATGGACCCTAGCGAATTCTGAAAGGTTCTTACTCTAAAAAAGATTGGCAAAACACCGAGCTATCTCATTTTTTACTCGAGAGGCTAAAACACCACAAAGATCACTGAATTCTGAAAACGATTTTTGCTTGTAAAAGCTTTATTTGTGTAAGGCAGAAGCATATAACCCCGAAGCGTATAACTCTGTCGCAATGCTTCTGTGTAAGGTTATTTGTGTTTTTTCATGTTGAAATAAATACTACAGTATGATAATCTCATGTGGCGTTTATTTGCTTTATGTGGTTTTACCAAGCCTAATATTTTCCTCATACACCTGTAATAATGAACTTTTACAGATCCTGCACCACAATGTGTAGGTAAGATTTCCATACAACCCCAAGCATTCATTATGTGTGTTAAATAATGTAAGCTTGCTGTATGTATAATAAATGTAGGGGTTTGAATGCAAATCGTACCACAGCATAATTCAAACTTCAGGCATTCGTGGATGCACAGGACCTTTTGATGTTGTGTTTGCCACTTAGTGATCCAGCAAGTTTTCTCTATTTTAGTAAGCACTCATGTTTTTAGGTGTCAGCTGCTGAATGTAGTCTTTTCTTTTTTTCATTATAGAAAGCACTCAAAAGTATTAAGAATAAAAACTACTGCAATAAGTTCAAGCTGTTTATAGCTTCTTACTGAGTTGTGTCTTATTTTTTTTTTACCCCCTCCCACACAGAAAAAAATACAAACTTATAATAGTGTATGGCAAAACCTGTATATTTAAGCGGACCCCATATTAAAAGTTACATCCTATGTTAAGCAGATGAATAGCTCAGTATGTTTGAAAAGTTTCTAACCATATTTTCAGAAAAAACAATGTTTTCAAAAATAAATCTATCCATACCCATTTTAAGGGGTATTTTCTTTGTGTTAAAAGGTTTCAACCAATCATTAGAGCTGCAAACATTATAGCCAACTGAAGAAAACTTTACATTAATTTTATGTTCCAGACATGCATGGGATATCTGTTTTATCCAGACTCATAAGATTTTGTTATAAGGATTCATATACATGCTGCTTTGCAAATTTTTCTTGAATTTTGCTGCCTATAAACCAATCAGAAGTATAATACAGACAATAGTAAAGTGAGCACCTTTTTGCATTTCAACATGTTGAAACATTGACTTTATTGATATTAATGTTGCATTTCTGATGCTCTTAAAGCCGAGTCTGCAGGCAGAGCAAGTTTGTGTGATCTTTTGCTTTTAAGGCATCCACCATGACAACCCAATCTTTCCCTTTAAATAATCTAATAAATTCACATGTTGCTGGCCTGCACATTATGATTGATCAGGCCTCATGCAACCATTAAGACACCACAGGAAAGTTAAGCTGATCAGTATTTGAGAATATGACCTTCATTGAGGAAGGGTTTAAGTTAAAAATGGCAGTATCACATTAAAATAAAACCTTTGGTCACACCTTGACCTCTTAATTAAGTCAACTGAGTTTCTTTCATTGGTGAGACAATCAATTTATGCACTTGCATGCCAGGGTTGCATTGAGAGAAACATTCTGGAGCAATAAAACATAGTGTGTGACTGAATCAATTGCATCTATTCATGCCATGGCTTGAAAGAGGCAATGTAGGGGAAAGCATCTAGAAGGAGACAAATTAATAGTAATGTAGTGTGTACAATAACATGTGTAGGTTGAGTTTGATCATCCGGGTGAACGTAGTCCTGAATAGGACTGTTGTTGTTGACAGTGACTACGTTCACCCGGACGATCAAACTCAACGTACTTTTGAAATGACTCCTGGGTTCAAACCTTTCACAATAATGTGTGTGTCACTCAGTAATGGTCACACTCTTCCCAGTATTCCTCAAATTTCAAATCCCAAATGCATTGGCAGCCATATAGTTTAACAGAAGTATAAAAAATAATAAATAAATAAATAAGTGCTCCCTTGCCCCAAAATATAGAACTTGCACTGTTTGTCAAACTTGTACATTATTTTCCCCAGTACCAATTCCGTGGCAAGGTCATGCAGAGATCTTAAAAGAGAATTCATGATTGCTAGTATTATTGTTCCTTCAATTCAACCTGTCAGAAAACAACAGAAAAGTTTGCAGACACTGAAAGACATATAGACTGCAAGCAGTCTCTCTTTTGCTTGAAAATGTGTAAGCAAGAGTATTTGAGCAGCGTATTCGAATTTGCGCCCTCGCAACTCACACAACTTCGCTGCTCAAATACTCTCGCTTACAGATTTTCAAGCTGAAGAGAGACTGCTCACAGTCTAAAAGACACACAACATAAAATGATGTACCAGTTTTATGAAACCTTTACATATCGTATTTTATATTATATCTTCAGGGAGGGAGCCAGCCTGGCATAAGGACTCAGTTCTTCTCTCTTTGCACCCTCACTCATCCTTCTTTTTACCACCTATTTTTATGCATACAAGGTTGTTATAAATAAAAAAAAACCCTGTATAATTTTTAGAATTAGGGGGACATCCACACAAACTTTGCTGCTTTCTGCTTATTAGAGATATCCACTAAATACTGGTTTGTTTTTCTTAAATTGTGGAAAGAAACGTTTTGCCACATTTTGAACTATTCGACTGCTGAATACAGGGTGTCTGCTTAATATGGGGTCTGCATACCATACAATGTAGAAGATGAGTTAATTAGGCTTTCACTGAGGAGGGGAGGTACAAGAAATAAGACATAATTATAAACAAGAAGCTATACACAGCTTGAACTTATTGCAGTAGTTTATATTCTTATCACTTTTGAGTGCTTTCTATAGAGAAAAAAAGAAAAGACTACATTCAGCAGCCGACACCTAACACCACGAGTGCTTACTAAAGTAGACAAAACTTGCTGGATCAATAAGTGGCAAACACAACATCAAAAGGTCCTGTGCATCCAAACCCCTATATTTATTTTGCATGCAGCAAGCTTATATTATTTAACACACATAACAAATGTTTGGGGTTGTATGGAAATCTTACCTATACATTGTGGTGCAGGATCTGTAAAGGTTAATTATTACAGGTGTATGAGGAAAATATGAGGCTTGGTAAAACAAACTCCAGATGAGATTATCATACTGTCGTATTTATTTCAACACCGTTTGCAACATGAAAAACACAAATAACCTTACACAAATAAAGTTTTTACAAGCAAAAATCGGTTTCAGGATACACACTCAGTGATAGTGTTTTAACCTCGCGAGTAAATAATTCGTGAGCTCGTTGTTTTGCTAATTTTTTTAGAGTAAGAACCTTTCAGAATTCGGCAAAATCCTAGGGTCCACTCTTTTGAAGGTATGAAAATACTTCAAAGTTTCAATATTTTTTGCTCGATGGAATGTTGACAATTACAGTTTAATCGAGTAGAAGGGGTGGGTGAACTCAACATTTCCGTTAAAGACAAATTTTCCCCCGAAATCAAATTCAACTGACTTATGAGAAAAAAAACTGAAAGCAAATGTTAACGAAAGCTCGAGATTTCAATTAAACAGGGCAGAGAAAACTACAGAGAAACGGCTCCTTACCTCAAGCAACCGGGCCACCGTTGTCTGCACTTACAAAGAACAGCACAAATTAGCTGCACAAAAAACCTTTTTCCTCTAACTTGGCGCGTCGACAGATGAAAACAAAGCTCTACTTTTCTTCTTAGGTTTGGAAGTACAATTTACACTTCTGGCGATTCCATATAAACCATATTGGCTATTGTTTCCGATTTGATTTGCAATGTTTGAAAATTCTGTAAAGATGAAACCTATTGTTTACCGATTTCCACGCATGATTTGATCCGTCAATCAAATTGAGCTTTTTGGTTTCTTTACTGATTTAGGAACATTAACCTCCGCTTCTATTAACCTCGTGTTCAATAAAGAATTGCTAATTGTCCAATGTGAAGTGCGGAACAAAATATCAGTCAAGCAGGAAAAGGTGTGTTCCACAAGATTCCCAGTCATGTCCGTGACAAAAATACTGGAAACCTTTATACGTTCTTTTCCTTCCTCTTTCAATAGAAAATATGTCCACATGGTTGCTTGTACGGTCGTCTTTGTAGGACCCGCGCATTTTGTCTTCAACGCTTATCCGGGCCGCAGTGCTACTTGTCCTCTTTCCAGCTGTTCAAACAAAAACGATGGTCACGCGGTCGCTTTTACCGATTTCTATCGTTGCTTGTAAAGGACCCTTTTTTGTGGAAGTTTTAAGCAGTTTCTATGGTAGGTTCTTTGTTGAAGAAGGCCAATTTATCAACTTCACATCGTCCCTCCACTTGTGCCGCCATTTTTTTTATTTGTTGACGCCGCCTCGCTTTGGCGCCCTGAAATCGTGAAAGCGAGTCTTCCGGAAGTCAACCAGTTTACCGGAAACTGTTTTCGCATGGTCCGCATAGTTCTAAAAATAACTTTTTTGGGATTAAGATATCCCGGCCAACGCCCTGAGTGTCCCTCTCTGTCCTATTATGGCTCTTGACAACAGCCAATCACATAGCGCGACTGTGTTCCGCGTGGATGACCCACGCTCAGAGCCACGCGTCCTTCACGAATTGACACTGAAAAAAATGGCGGAAGACGCGGAGAGCGATATTGCTATTCGTTTTGTCGACGAAAACGACTAAAGAGGGATTTCTACTAAAGCGGTGTCAGCGAAAGGAAATTAAAAAAGAATCGTCCCTCCTCTCTTGTATAGAGCTAACAGTACAGCAAGGAAATCCTTAACACACTGAATATTCTCTCAGGATCATTTATAATTTATAGTTTGAAGAGAGCAATTTCTGGTTTGATGTTTATTCTTTTATTATTCTTTTATTATTCAACAAATATAACACTTGGCGTCCTACTTGCTTTATTGTACAACGCGACCGGTTTCAATATAAAATAGACTGGCGAAATTTCTCAATTTATTAAAGCACTGAGTTTACGACAACTTCGAGTTAAACTGATTTCAAGGGTTGTCAAAGAGTCCAGCGATTCCCTTTTCCCAGGTGAGCGCCGACTCATTTCGCTTCAATATTCAGAAATACTCTCGATCTCTTTACGCTTTCATTGCCTTTCGCCCGACATGTTTTGCACGGCGTTTACTCATGCGAAACCTCCACGAAACATCCACGCAGCGCGCGAGGTAACTTTGTCCCGATTCTAAAAATAACTCGAGACGAATTACCTATGGAATAGGGTGTGTATGGGGAATGCCTTCTCTATCCCCTTTATCCTCTCTTGGGTTAATATAATGATCAACTTTATTTTCGAGGGTGGCACTTGATAGTGTAAAATACTGATAAACTCATGGCCCTCAAAAGAAATTGAAAATAAACACAAATACATATAAATAATGAAGTAATTAAAACTAAGTGATTAAACAATTAAAATAAGAATTATCTAAAAATTTATATAAAATATACGAGAATAAAGTAGAATAGCCTAGGCTATAGTAAAGTGATGAACATCTTTATAGGACTCCAAAAATACTTATATAAAGATTTCCTTGAAATTTCTAAACTAGAGCTACACTTAATTTCATTGGGAAGTGAATTCCAAAACCTAGTGGCTGATACTTGAAAAGTCCTAGCATCTTCTGATTATTCTCTTTTATTATTTGGACAAATTAAATTCAAAGACTCATATCCACTTTGTTTTTCAGTAGAACGTATCATGACGCATGTCGATGTTTCGTTTGAGTAATTCTAGCATATAATCGGAACACTCCGCGTTCAAACGTTTATAAACTAATGCGCACTGATTAATGACATTAATCTTAGCTTCATGAAAAAAAAGTAGCCAATTAAGTTCTCTAAACAGATCTACACTATTTGCTCTAGTATCAGCATTGAGAATAACGCGTGCGGCACGCTTCTGTAGCCCGAAGACCTTACTTAAATTATCAACAGATGTAGAAAACCACACACCAGAGCCATACATCATGGTTTGCTTTATCATCGCATTGTAATAAAGAATTCGTTGATCTAAAGGTAAATGACACCTGATTTTTTTTCAAAACAGCAATACGCTTTGTTAGCTTCTTACATTATACATTGTTAGCTTCTTACATTATCAATATGCTCATTAAAATTAAGCTGAGTATCAATAATTACACCTAACAGTTTATGAGACTGGACTTGTTCGAGTTCGACAGAGTTGACATGGACAGTGAGTGAGGTGCTTTTCCTTTTTTGACCAAGAAAGCAAGGTTGTCCACAAACCCTCGCTCGGCTGCCAAAAACGCGGGAGTGATTCCATGATCATCAACACAATCAATGCAACTAAAATGCCTCAAAGGAAGTTCCAATGCATCTCTGTTATCTATTATTGCTGCACTGTGTAGTAGAGTTCTGTTGTTTAGCGGATCTTCGGCTGAGGATATACTATAATACGCCTAAGGCAAACTGAGTACTTCTTGAACATAGGCCCCTTTTCATCCACCGAGCACCAAGATATGCTACAGTGAGAAAGATGAGAAAACTGAAGGAGGTAGTTTTTCGGCCTGTTCTTTTTTAGGTCCCTAACCGCACCAAAATAATAATCGCAGAATGCTTCATGTCCTTTCTTTTTACTCACAAAATATTTCTCGTTCTCTTCACTGGTGAGCCACTCAGTTAGCGACAAGTGATACAGTTTTAGGGTACTGTCCTTCCCAATTTTCAGAAAGTGGCCAAGCTCTCTCAATCTATTCTTGAAATCGTATTCATCTAGGCTGTTCTGTCTTATTTTTAGTATATCAAACATTTGGTTTTGTGTTAACGGCTCAAATGTTGAAACTAATAATTCCAAAATGTGCCGTACAGGCTTGAAGCTTCCTTCTCTAGGATATAGCCTTTCAAAGTAACTGTGGAACAGATCGTGTAAAGTCTTTGGCAAGGCATATGGATTCCTTAATTCTGGTCTTGGGTTTTCCCAATCCTTGAGCAATTCTTTTACGAACAGAAAGTTCCCTTGACTTTCGCTTAGTACCCGGGTTGTCAATTTTGTGATACTTTTCACACTGTCATTCCCCAACCACCCAGTTATACGTTGCAGCAATGGTCCTTCTTGAAAAAGTCTTTTCGTCATGAAGATCTCGAGATCTTTAAGGTTTCTTGAGTCTTCAGAGTCAATAGTTATCTTCTTCACTTTACTTGAATGCAAAGAAGCAGAAGGTTCATTTCGCGAAGTCGTAACGACCTTTAACCATGGCGGAAACCGGTGAATTTTGTTGTTAAGCAGATAGACAATGCTGTGACCTGTTTCACCTTGCGTAAGACATTCATCCAAGGCATCTACAACCACAAACCAGTTTTCTCTCGGTTTATCTTTCAGGTTCCTCAAAGGAGACAAAACAGCAAGTTCGAAACAGCCTACAGGATAATGGATGCAGTCGTCCGTAAGTGAGCGTTGAATGTAAGTAGTGTTGGTAACGATGTAACCGTACTCGGGCAGCCTGCGGCCTATCATCTCCGCTAAATTTCGAACGAACTTTCCTGCCATTTGCGTATTTTTGTCAGAATATTTGCAAAAGTGGTATCCTAAAATACGAGTATGGATAAATGAACTTGAGGTCCTCGAACATATTAGGTGGGAGACAAATGCGGATTTGCCGGAACCAGGACTTCCTATTATCTGCACCCCAGTAATGTTTTCTTCCTCAAATGCATATTCCACCTCTCTATACAGCCACTGACGACCGATAAAGTCCTCAGCTCGTTCTGCGTCCAGGTATTCTGACATGTTGAACTCTTTGGTTTCGAATAGCACACTAGCATCTTCTGCTGGACATCCTTCAAGCACGAAGACAAAGTATAGACAATATACACAATAAATAACATCCAAAGTCAGGATGGTAATTTCAGAGTAACATTATGGGTGCTTACCATTTGACAGAAACATGTGGTTGGGGTGTCGAAAGCATAATGGTAAGCGATTTATCAGTTAACCGCAGAATTGCCGCATCCGTTACGGGTTGAATCAAAAAGGGGGAAGAATGCGTCTGGAACCGAGAAATTGGTAAATGGTAAGCAAGTCCGTTTTGTTTGTACCAACCGGAATGAAAGGACTA